TCTGTAATCTGTAATGGAATACATTTTAAAAGTAACCTTCCCAACACTGCCTAGACACAACTGTGCAAAGGAGCAATAACAGCAGGAAAAATATAATCAAGCTTAGCCTAGCTTTTTATTTATTTATTTTTTATTTAACCTTTATTTATACATGTAGTCCCATTGAGACCTAATGTCTAATTTGCAAGAGAGACCTAAACATTGAATACTGACCTAAAAGCACAATAAAATATGCCTTACTCAAGGGATGGACCAGTGTTGTGTCACATAATAAACAAATTAGCAGAGAATCAATTTTAAATTGTGTTTTTGCTTTTTTACTAGAAGCCTGTTCCATAGACACATTATTTGCTCCAATTTCTTTAGTTGAATCTATTTTTTTAAAAATGCCAAAGATAACAGTTTTATAAACAGACATAAAATATTATTTTTCCACCAACAAAGTGATTCCAAAAAGTGGTATTAATCAGAAACTTTAGTATATCTCAGCATGGTGTGCCTAAAGACTTGGAGTAAACTGGACAAGTGGAGAACAAAAGAGTGTCAGTCCATAACAAACTCTCTACAGTGGATGAACAATATAATAAATTCATGTCCTTAACAAATAGGAACACAAGACCTGACATATTACTTGAGAAATTAATTTAGGCCTTTATTTGATCCAGCTACTTAAATTGTTAATCACTTTGTGCAGCATGGACAGTTTGGAAATGTGCTATATAAATAAACTTGACCTTGAGCTTGACCTGCTGTTCACTGAGGTAAATAATGGTCTTAATAGAAGGATGGCTGTCAAGAAAAAAGTACGAGGTATAAAAATTTTGGTTCAAACTTTTACACATTAATATTCTGCACAATTTAAACAACATATATTGTTGTAGCATTGTATTATTAGGCTAACAGATTATTAAGCCAATAAAACTGGGGGTTGGGTTGGTGGGGTTTTCTAACCTTTAAAGTCAGATTTCTAAAAGAGTCTTTGAAACAAACCTTTCAATGTGAAATCGCTTCAGCTCCAGAAGCTCGGTGTTCGAGCTCTTTAAACTTCCTCTAAGGGTGACCCTTAGACAAAACTAATTTCACCCAATTTTTTTGTCACTTCCCAAAGTGGAGCCATAGGTTGGAACATGTCTGACAGGTAAATAAAAGCTTTTGCTCTGGCTCAGGTTTGCTTTATTGCTGATGACAGTCAACCTTTAATTCTCACGCTTTCTTTTTCTTTCACTTAGGAACAAAACTCCAACAACTTTCCCCCAATCCAAAGAGATCAAGCCACTATTTTTCAGCAGGGAGCCATTTTACAAACACTTTGAGGTACCGACCGAAGCAGGAACTGCTTGGGTTGTCATGGAGCACCTAAAACTGCATTTCCTCCAGTGGTTTCTCCCTTCCCTCATATTATTACATCAGCTGATAGGTGTTTCCTTGGCCTCATCTGCATTAATTCCAGTCAGGGAACTTCATCTCTCCATCTTGATTGTGCTGCTGGGGAATTTATTTTAATCGGATTGTATCACAAATAACATAGCTTGCTATGTGGTCCAGTTATTTGCACATCAGTTTGTGTGAGTAAAGTTCTAGTAGGTGAATTTGAACTGTTACTGCACAGTAACTAACATGTGCCCTTATCTGTGCATGGCCTGCACAGTTTATGTAGGCTAGCAGTAATTACTAACTTAATACTCCACACTCCAAAGTGTTATCTTACTCTGAAGTCAAAAGTTTGAGATAATAACTGTAAATTTCAACTTAGCTCTGCCTGGCAATTTATTTATTTTGACCGGTTTTGACCAATTAACCAATTAACTTAACCCCACTAACTGCGTGTCTTTAGGAAGCAAGAGAACCCGGAGAGAACCCACACAAACACGGGGAGAACATGCAAACTCCACACAGAAAGGCATTTTTTGTGTGGATGGTGGCCAGATGGTGGAGTCAAACTCAGGACCTTCTTGCTGTGAGGCCACAGTGCTAATCGCCGCGCTGCACGATTTTAACAAATTAAAATTAAAATCCCCCTGATGTACCTTTAATCTTGAGTAGCAGCTCTAAAATAAAAAGGTTCAAAGGTGCATATTTTGTTGACGCCTGCTTTACTTCCGTGCTGCTTGCTTCTGTCACAATAGGGTCATAACTCACACAGGAAATAACTTCCATGTGAACGTTTGGGTTTTTTAAAGGGCATAGTTGACATCTATCCTTGAGTTTGGTTTTTTGTATGTGGCCTTCTAAACTGCTCTTTCATCTTCTCAGCTCTTTGTTGGGAATGATAATTCAACCGGAATAACTTCATATCAATCCAGGCCATTCTCCCACTGATAGTCACAAAACTTTGGCTATGCAGGAGCAGTAATTTAACTTCTGGAACCTTGAAAGCCCAAAATATCTCCTCCCACTGCTTACAAGGCTGCTGGATCAGTGCGCAGTTAGAGGCTGTTCAAAGCAGTAGTAGAACGGCAATTTTGTGCTTGGTTTTAGTCATTTACCCTCACTTTACAAGGAAAGTTACCAGGGTCAGACCTTCTTTTACTCAGATGTGTCTGCAGCCTTGATTGAATGAATCATATGCCACAGTGACTCACAATCTCACAAGTGATGCAGTTATGATCATTGTACCCTTTTATTATATTTCCGATCATATATTATATTCATGCCGTATTTCTTTGTAAGCTACAAAAGGAGGTGATGGACTGCACATGTTTAGCGCATATATAACATGACAAGGACAAAATTCCCTATATTATTACAAAAATCAATAAATAAACTTGTAGCAATTTTCTGTCATCATCCCCACTGAGAGCAAAGTATGTCAGACAATTCTCCATGTCATTTCCATCTTCTTAAAGCAGGAGTGCATAAATACTCCTGTTATTCTTATCGGAGGCTGTGTGCCACTGTGTGATTGGCTGATAGCTGATGACTCATTTCAACAGGCTGGTGTGGGGCTGGCAAAGGAGCGGAGGGTAGGTGGTGGTGAAAAGGGGGAGCAGGAGGTGGGAGTAAAGCTTTCTCCCACTGCGTGTACGCTTATGTGCAGTGCTGTTGTACAGCGCGCCGTTTCGCACAAAAGCACACAACATAAATACTTGCAAACGGAGTCAACTTCATCTATGCACTTACTCATTGTGTTTTCTGCTCATCTCTTCAGCCGCGGTTGCCTGTAGCCATACTTGAGGAGAGACATAGAGCCGGAAGGAGAGAGAGAGAGAGAGAGAGAGAGGAGGGAGAAAGAGAGAGTGAGAGAGAGAGGAGGGAGACTTGTGTTGATCAGAGAGTCTGCAGCCCCCCAGCCTTCCCTCTGTTGCTGCTACAGTACGTGTGAAAGGAAGAGGGAGAGGCAGCAGAAGCAGATCTGCTGTTTGTCTCTGAGACTCAGAGGGAAGAGCAGAGCGCTGTGAGCTGTGCAGTGCAGAGCAGAGCCAGCCAGTCTTCTGGTATGTGTCCAGTGTGAGCAACTCAGCCGAGTCCCTGCGCACTTCTGTCTGAGCTGCCTCGCACCCCAGGACTCTGAAACCAGCTACACAAACAGGTGAGTGTCAACAGCCTCATGACGAAATACTCGACTCACTAAATACTGCACTGGATGTATCCATGTGATTATCATTATTATTATTATGATTTCCACCAGTCTGTGTTTATTTTACTGTTGTGATTAAAATAATGTATGCATGTTACTATTTGAATATTGTAGTATATACAGGAATGATTTCACAAATGCCAAAAGTTCTTCTTAAGAAATGAGGTGTATCCACCTTTGGTTTTGTGCGCGTCGATGTGACAGGTGGGGGTGTTTTCACATATATGTTCGCGCAAACGTTAGTTTGTATGAAGGCTTGTTTACCTTCTCGCTGACAGGTGAGAAAGACCGCTGGGACTTGGGGAAAGCGTTGCCTCTGGAAGGAGTAAATGCATTTGATTTCATCCCTGTTTCCCCATGTGTATATCCATGTGTCCCTGCTAGAGAGAGTGGGTGGAGTGGAAACTGTTTCTGCCACTGCTCTCTCAGTGTAGTTTAGAAACAGGAGAGAAAAAACAAGATTCCCCCCCCCCCCAAAAAAAAAGAAAGAAAAAAAAACAACACAAGATGAAGACAGTTTCATCTCAGAAGCTGTGCTTTAGGCGGACTACAGTATTTGATGGAATGCAGATTGCGCCTCCGTTCCAGCCCGCAATTTGTCCGTGTGGACACAGTAGTTTATCAACAACTGTCGGGAATATCTGCAGGAGTTTACACTTCAGATTTACGCTGTTTTTCTTGAGCTTAGCGTGAGCCTTTCGTCTCAACTGCGCAAGAGAACGACTGCATCCATCCCTAATTATTGTAGCATTGGTAGAATGCGATCGCTGTAGTCTAAGACTGTAGCAATATTCTCGCTTTAACATCTAATCTGTTACATAATAAGGTTCTCAGCATACTGGCTTGGTTTCAAAAATAGAGCTGACATCAAATCAAAGATCTCTCTAATGGGCCAGATCATGCATGCCTCTTTCCTGTGGCGTTATATGCAGCAAACAATCTGCTGTTAATTTGGAATAAGGGTTTTTTTTTGGCTCACATGTCCACTTTTCTCCTGTGTGGAAAAAAAAGTGATGTCATAGTGTTAGTGTATCATATCAGTGCTGCTTTCTTTATTTGTTTTGCCCTGATTGAACCCAAACTTAATTATTTGTACTGTGTTGCAAAGCTGGGTTCCTCTTTAGCACCTTCTCCTCCATATTGGTGTGTAACACTCATCACTTGTACTGCATCCTGGGATGTAATTACGTGTAATGGCAGCTCATGAAGGTTTACCGCAGGGAATCAGCAGGTTGGTCTAGAATTATTTTCTCCGCTGCAGAACTTGTTGAATGGACTTTAGTTCTTTTGAAGTTTGTCTTTGAACTAAGCCTGAATCTGACCAACTTCAAGCCTGTATGATTTGCTTAAAGAGAGGACAGAGAAATACAATCCTTTGAATAAAAGCATATGGCTGAATGAGATTTCACAGAGACACATTGTCAGTGTTTAGATGGTTTAAACCCCTGAGCCATGACCGTGATCTGGGCTGCCATTGACAGCGAAAATTCCCCTCGGTGTTTGCTGCTGTTGTTTGCCTCCAACTGTCAATCTGTCACTGCTGTGATGTTAAAAAACAGCCCCAGTTCCCCATTGACTGTGCCACCTCCTTTTATCACCCAACCCCCAACATATATGTACCCACATCCATCCATCCATCCATCCATCCATGTTTCTCCCACCAGGTTTGATATTGTCTCTTCACTTTTACCGTGCACCTCCCTCCACCCCTCTCCGCTCTGGTCGCCACAGAAACGGCTGATTCAGGAAGGGTGGGCGGGTGTCTCAGAGCTCTTGCTGCTCTGCCCCATGCGGCGCTTTCACAGTACATTTCTGCTTCTGTGCTGCTTTTATGGCCCTGATATGCTGACAGTTCAGGTGGCTCAGTCAGATGTTATACAATTGTATCAGCTACACAAAGCCTGTTTGTTCACTTCCCTCAAAGGACATGTTCAGAATTTAGACTTGCATTGCCATTCATGTTCAGTTTTTATTCTAACAATGGATCACAGGAAGCCTCTTGATTGCCTGCTGACAAATCACTAGTGGTGGCAGATTTCTTTTTTAATGGTTTGTTTGTTAAATTTGTGCAGACATTATTTGTGGTTATGAAGTGAGCGGCTGTCTTTTTATGGTCTTCTAATTAAGTGATCCATGGAGATTGCAGATCTGTTTTATGTGGCACCTGGGTCAGAATCAGAGTCACACTGTGTGTGTTTAGAGACTATACTGAGGTAATTAATAATGTAATATACCATGACTGAGGCGTTAAATAATAGATATGCTGTGACCTTTCTCTTACATAAGGTTGATAAAATAAAATAAGAGTGATGGAGTGAAGGATTGCCATGAGTAGGTAGATCTGCAGACTTTTTATCTTTTGGTATGAATTACCTATTTATTTATTTAATTTACACATGTATTGCAGTTGACCTCCCACTCAAACACCAAATAAAAGATTAGCTCCTGTAATTACAGGCGTATTAAACAGAAGTGTTTTTTTTTGTTTTGTGTTGTGGTTTTAACCATTTTTGTTGCATTTTTCCAGATAGCTCTGGTTGCCATGGTGATAATTTGTACAGTAGCTTAAAAACGCCACCCTTTGGAAAAGGCTTCCAAACAGGAAATGAAACTAGTGTTTTTACTGCAGTCAATTCCAAGCAGGACCCCATGAGTTCATCCTGCTGTGCCTGATTAAATTAAAATGGGAATTGTATTCACTTAGGAGATAATGGTGGAGAGAAGCTTCGTGAAAATCGAGCTTTTGATGCTTTTATGTTCGCTGTACAAGCATATTATTGATTACCGAGTCACAGCCTTTCTGTGGCATATCGCTGACGATGTAGCTACTGAGGGAAAAAAAAGTTATTTGCCATTCATCTTATTTTGCTTTTCAAAATGCAAGAAGAGCACAGTGTAGCCATCAAATTTAGTCATTAATTTGTGATTTATAGCACTATTTGGTCGGGTTCTGTTTTGTATTTTCTTCTTTTAGAGCTACAAAATTCATGCAGGTTAAAGTGTTTTTTCCACCCTGCAGTGTTCAGCTATTACAGTCAGTGGTGACGCAGCCCGAGACTCATACAGCACACTGCAGAGCCGTCACGAGACACAGCCAGAACAAAGAGCGCACACTGTCATCTAAGAGAAGAACTCAACACAGAAGCAGCCTGTTGAGGCACCAAAGTGTGACATACAATACAGCAGGACACCATGTGCTGAGACCTAACTGACTCATTTGGCTACCTTGTGGCACTAAAGGTCTCAGGTGGGACCTTGTTAGTTCACTGTTGAATATATTGCTCTTCCTTATTCTCATAAACATGAAAAGAAATGGGCACGCAGAAGTTCACAGATGAAACAGTGGTACCAGGCACTTTAATCATGTGTGTCTCCACCCTGGTTCCCCAAGCGCATAGCTACAGATTTACAAAAGCAAAAGCAAACAATCGTGGAAATATTTATTACCAAATAACTCAAATATCTTGAAAAGAAACACAAGTACAGTAAAATTGATTATTATGTTTTTTTTTGCTGTGTACAGACAAGTTTATGAATACAGTGAATTACCAAAAAAAAATGTGGACCAACTTAGTCCAAGGACACCCACTACCACACATAACAGTGATGCTTCAAATGTTCCCTACAACATACAAAACCAGCGAGTATACACGAGAAGGAAGTGAGTCCTGAATGCCTTCTGAAGGCAAAGTTTAAAAAGCTGGTTTTACTTCAAAGGTCACATGGCTTTTTAAAGTCACCACAGCCAAGACAACTTGCTTGAGTACAAACCAAACATCAGAATGGGGAAGAAAGGTGATTTAAGTGACAGAAGAACATCTGTGAACACATTTGAATGTGGCATGGTTGTAGGTGCCAGACAGGCTGGCTCAGAATTTCAAAAACTGCTGATCTGCTGAGACCATCTCTGAGTTTTAATAAGCTGCAATTCTCTGGGTGAAAATGTTTTGTTGATGCTAGACGTCAGAGGACAATGGCTAGACTGCTTCAATCTAATAGGAAGGCAACGGATCACGGCTATGGTATGCAGAAGTGCATCTATCAATGCATAATACTTCAAACATTGAACAAGAGGACCACACAGCATGCCACGCCTGTCAGCTAAGAACAAGAAACCCAGGCTACAGTTCACACGGGTTCACCAATGCTGGTGGACAGAAGATGGATAAAAAAACACCTGAGTCTCACTTTTTGCAGCAACATTCAATGGTAGGACCAGAATCCATTTTACTTTGTATCAGTGGTTCAGGCTGGTGGTGTTGTAACGGTGTGGGAGATATTTTCTTGGCACATTGTTAGCCCCTTAGTACCAAATAAGGATTACTTAAATAGCACAGCTTACCAAAGTATTGATGCTGACCATATCTATCCTTTATGACTGCAGTGTGCCCATTTTCTGATGGCAGCTTCCAGCAGGATGAAAAAAAACATGTTAGAAAGCATAGATCACCTCAAACTGTTTTTTCTTGATTTCAAATGACCCGTACAGTCACCAGATCTCGATCCAGGAACGCACTTTTGGGATGTTGTTGAACAGGAGATTCTCATCATGGATGTGCAACTGTATGATGCTATCATGTCATCATCACATTAAATCTATGATGTGAAAAATTAACTCAGTTCTGAAGCCAAAAGAGGTTTCGACTTGTATGAGGAACGTTTACCAAATGAAGTGTCTAGTAAGTCTATATGTCCGTGTAGGAAGATTATACTCCTTTGCATGAGTAGGTTGACTATTATTGGAGATTATGTATCGGAATTTCACGAGCAGGACCATGCCTCCAAACACACTCCTTCCGGCTGTCATCTATATAAGTTCCCCCAGTTCTGCAAGCTGATCATTCTCGTTTACGTGCCCCACCCTCCTTCCCTCCTTGTTCTCCATTCTTCAACTTCTTCACTTCTATTTAGTATATGGGGATCTGCCAGGCCCGGGAGCCGTCGCCAGTCCC